GTGGTGGTCAAATATTCCAAAGATAGTTATGGCAGTTGTGGTCAGATATTCTAAAGATAGTTATTAAAAAGTCATATAATTCAATCCATTAATGACTTCAATAAATGTCTAGAAACAAGCAGTATTTCAAATGAATTTAAAATAGGTAATATTATAGGTAAACACTCTAAAAAACTCTTTACATTATTAGTATTTATTGATTTCAGAAAAGCTTTTGACTTAGTAGATTCCAAATTACTGATTCTAAAGATAAAACATTATAGTTTTTCAACTGATGTTTGAACTTAATAAGCAACTACTTCCATAATAGAAAAATGTTTACAAAAGTTCAAGATGCATATTCTAACAAAGAAAAAGTTAATATCAATATACCACAGGGTTTCATTACTGCTCAAGTCTTATAATTTACTAAACAAAAAAAGAAACACAAAGTCCTAGCAATGCATACTATATGATTTTATTTTTACTACTCAAAATTAATATTCAAAATAAAGATAAATTTCAAATCAATCAACAACTTAATGCATACAACCTACAAAGTTTTCATCATCGATTTTTATGCAGAGCACTAAAATTATGCAATAATTTTTTTTTACAAGAAACCGACGAAGTTATTCAAGCAATTTGATTTTTTTCAACCTTGATAACAACAAGTTCAATACTAGAAATAAAAACATAGCTTCAAAGTGTCCAACAAACACGATGAACAGTGATTTAATTTTTTTTTCAGCAATATAATTAATAAATTTGGGAATCCTTAGATTTTCTTTATCTCCATCAATTGTAAAAATAAGTACTACCTGAACCTCTGGAGAACAAATGCTTGAAATTTCAAATAAAACAAGTTATTTTAAATAATGGTTATGAGAAAAATTAGTGTTGTTATCATGCTTCATAGATCTAATACTAGTATATGTTGCTCCAGAGTATGACATTGCTTAAGCAAATAACAAAAGAATTTAGTGATCTATATCTATTGAACAACATCAACTCAATTATAGCATCTACATCATTAGGTTTGACGGCAATATAAACAGAATAAATAACTATATTGACTTTTATATAAGCGAAAAAATTAGAAAAAAAAAGAAAAACTAAACACTTAAATTTTTTTACATCTTTTATTTTGTATTTATAATAACTTATTATACTACTTGTATCTTATATAAAATACACTTATGAACTGCTTTTTACCGTAGGTAAGTACCGTAGGTAAGAAGTCCATAGTCCGTATGATAAAAGTTAATTAAAAAAAAAAATTCTTTTGCAATACTATTTTACTTAGAGCAGTGTGAGGTTATTTTTGCATTGTTTATACTCATAGTTACAGTTACTAATGTATAAATAAACTGTTTGTACACCTAAATTGTTTGTATACCTTTTGTTTTTCAAGTCTAAACATTTTCATTACTTGAGCATTTTTATATACATAATCATGATAATATACATTTTGTATACATAATCATGATAATATACATTTTATATACATAATCATGATAATATACATTTTGTATACATAATCATGATAATATACATTTTGTATACATAATCATGATAATATACATTTTGTATACATAATCATGATAATATACATTTTGTATACATAATCATGATAATATACATTTTGTATACATAATCATGATAATATACATTTTGTATACATAATCATGATAATATACATTTTGTATACATAATCATGATAATATACATTTTGTATACATAATCATGATAATATACATTTTGTATACATAATCATGATAATATACATTTTGTATACATAATCATGATAATATACATTTTATATACATAATCATGATAATATACATTTTGTATACATAATCATGATAATATACATTTTGTATACATAATCATGATAATATACATTTTGTATACATAATCATGATAATATACATTTTGTATACATAATCATGATAATATACATTTTGTATACATAATCATGATAATATACATTTTGTATACATAATCATGATAATATACATTTTGTATACATAATCATGATAATATACATTTTGTATACATAATCATGATAATATACATTTTGTATACATAATCATGATAATATACATTTTGTATACATAATCATGATAATATACATTTTATATACATAATCATGATAATATACATTTTATATACATAATCATGATAATATACATTTTGTATACATAATCATGATAATATACATTTTATATACATAATCATGATAATATACATTTTGTATACATAATTATGATAATATACATTTTGTATACATAATCATGATAATATACATTTTGTATACATAATCATGATAATATACATTTTGTATACATAATCATGATAATATACATTTTATATACATAATCATGATAATATACATTTTATATACATAATCATGATAATATACATTTTGTATACATAATCATGATAATATACATTTTACATTTTTATCCAACTCTTTAATTGAATGTATAAAAATCGAAAAATGAAAATAATTTTGTAGTAAATTAAAAAAAAAGGTGATCTGCTGTATAAACAATATTTTTCTTTTTTTTTTATATTTCTGCTTTATAAACAATATTTTTATTAGATCTAAAATTACTATTTACTGAATTAAGGTTGTAGTTGACCAAAATTTTTGAAAAATTTGTATTTTTTTTAATATATATTTTTAAAGAGAAATTTCTGTACTTTCCAAAAATATATACTTTTGAATATTTTTATACATTTTTTCCACTAATTTAGCAATTTTTTTGACCTATGTCAATTTATTCATCTTAGCAATGCTCTTAGCAACCGTAATGTCAATATTGTAAATTAGGATCAAGGTCCCAAATAAAAGTTTGCAAATATTTTGCAACAAATTAAAAGCTTGATATCGATAGTGTAAACATAACCTTAAAATAAAAAATAAATTGGTGTATTTTTACAAGAGAGAAAGAAAATATTTTAGCAGTGATTATATCTGCTGTTGTATGTTATTATTATTGCTGTTACAGTTGTATATTTTATAAATATAATATATTTATTTTCTATTTTAGCAGTCTAAAAGTATATTTTATATTTAATAAAAACATGCCAGGAACTAAACAGAGATCATCTTATAAGAAGAAAAGACCAAGTGTGTTTACAGATCATAAAAGTCAGACATTTTCTGGAGGTGATGAAGAAAAGAGAAGTTCTAGACTATGAGGTAAAAATAAAACCCTGTTTTGAATGCAGGGCTAGAAATAAATGGAACAAGAACAATGACAGATATAAAATCTGGTATGAAACCCATAAACCAAACTGCAGTATAAATCACACCACATTAGCAGAATTAATTGAAAAAGACAGTGTAGTTGAAATGTTTTCTCGATCCCTTTCTTTACACAGTTTGAAGTATACTACTTATCTTGGTGATGGTGATTCATTATCTTTTGCTGTTGTTTGTGATGCTATGCTTGAAAGGCATTCAGATTATTTGTTGTTAAAGAGGATTGTGTTAGACACATTCAAAAAAGAATGGGAACAAATCTGAGAAATTATAAGAAGGATAAAAAAGGGCATAAGCTTGTTGACGGTTTTACTGTTGGTGGGTGTGGTCGCCTTACAAAGGTTGTTATTGATCGATTTCAAAATAACTATGGAGCAGCTATTTGGAAGAATTCAAATAACTTAAAGAATATGCAAAATGCTAATTGGGCAATATACTTTCATTCAATTCTGGGAAAAGGTGAAACTTTGCCACAACAGCATCGTTTTTGCCCCAGTGGAACAAATTTGTGGTGTCGTTACCAACAAGATATTGTGAACCGTACTAATACATACAATCAAGAAAAGTGTTTACCATCTGTATTTAAAGACAAATTAAAATGCATTTTTAGCAGACTATCAGAATAAGAACTTCTTCAATGTTGTTTGAAAGGCATCACACAAAATCAAAATGAAACTTTGAATTCAGTTCTATGGAGCATATACCCAAAACGTATATTTTGTGGTAAAATAAAGTTGACTGTTGGTGTTACCTTAGCTATTATTCAATGGAATTCTGGAGCAGCAGGATTGAGTAGTATTCTTACTTCAATGGGGTCAATCAAGTTGGAGCTAATACGAATGCAGGTTTTAGAAAAAAAACCCTTCTTCGCTTGAAAATATCTGTTTTAAAATCCAGAAATAGTTCACTTAATCGTTGCCAGCAGTTGCGATAAAATCGAAAAAGAAAGTTTAATACAAAGCCTTTATATTCCTCAGGTGGATTTACCATTCATCCAGAGCCAGATAGTGTCATTAATAAAAAAACAAACGTTGGAAATACAAGAATTTTAATTACATTTGTAGATGATTCCAGTCTGAATCAAAGTTGTTGGATTAAAATTTTCAAAAACTGAATTGTTGGATTAACAAATGATTATTATTATTTATGTTTTGTACATTTTATTGTGTAACTTGCATACAATCTGATAAAACCTTTTTTTAAAGTGTAAAATCAATATTTAAAGTTTGCAAATTGAATTTCTCTGTTTTTGATTTTCACCTTTAAAAAATGATATTTTGAGTTATTCTCATCAGAACATGTTAAAATTTTTTCAGATTATTTTAGGGTTAAATATATTGATTTGAACAAAACATTTTAGACTCCTTGGTCCCGTAACTATGAAAAACAGTTTTTTCTTTGTTCCCATAGCAACAGTTGTCATGGAAAAAAATCCCTCGTTCAAATCAATCTATTTTATGTGGTTGTCATTTTTGTTAAAAAACATTTCAAAATTTAACGTTTTTTATTAAAATAACCTTTCTTAAAGCCATTTTATTGTTTTCATTTTCATGGCAACAGTACCAAAAATAGTCTATAATTTTTTAAAATTTTTATGCAAACTATTCACTAAAGAGTTCTTTTAAATGCCTGATATATATTTTTTACTATTAAATGCCTGATATATATTTAAAAAAAATAATAAACATGCACATATCAAAACAAAACTGATTAGAATATTACAAAAAATAACACATAAAGAACTTACAGACGATATAATGACCTAAGATTTCGAAATGCTCTAGAAGGAATAGTTGTCAGCCGGTTTGAATTAATTTGTCTAAATAGTTATAAATATTATTAAGGTTTATAATCAAATACAAAAAAATCTTATGTAAATACTATAATAAACTTTATGATAAACATTATACACAAAGTATACATACAGTACCAATAGCCTTGGAAGTCCATCAAAAGCACCATTTGCAAGACCAGATATGTTATTAACGCCAAGATTTCTAAATTCATCAAAATAAAATGTAATTTTAAAAATAAAATTAAAAAAAAAACGTTTTTTTTTTAATTTTATTTTTAAAATTACATTTTATTTATAAATTTTATATATATATTAAAATTGTATTTTAAATTATTTTACATGTATATATGTATATACAGGGGTGGATATAGGGTTCATCACATTAGGCTGCCGCCTTGGGAGAAATATCATATTGCTATTAAGATGTAATTTACTTTACATTTTAAAATTCCATTGGGCATATTTTATTATTCATGGTTACAGTATTGCTGACAAGTAACTTAACTACGATATGCATGGGAGTGTTACAAACTATGATTAGGAATAATGGCTTTTTCATGCATTAGGCAAAATAAGTTTTGCCTAATCTAATCTTGGTGCAAGGTGTGAATTTTAATCACTTTAACTAACGAAAGTTAAATTATGCCTAAAAAAGTATGGAACTAAGTGTTTTAAGTATCTGCCAAATCTAATCTGGATCTAGATACAAAAAGTCTGGAGCTAAATTATGCAACTTGAAAAAATTAATAAACAAGCCAATAAATTGCTTATGATGTCTGACATTTGTTATAATTTACAAATGGCTTTAAGCATAAGGATTTAGTTTTATTAAATTAAATTTGCAAAAAGTAGTATAAAGTAAATTCTTTATGTTTTCTGTATAAAGAAAAAACCTGCATTTATCTTAAGCAAAATTTCTGTTCCGAACATCAAAAGCTCGAAATTGGATAAACTTGTACCCATTCAGAAAGCTATTAATCATTTATAATGCTTTACTTTTTTTTTTTATTTGCATTCACTCCCAACAAGGCTGCAAGCAACCACTATTAAGTTGGGAGTTACTAGGAAAAAAAAAAACAGAGTTATAGAGCAAGGAAACGGTTGACAGAAGACTTGAAATGTTAAAGGTTGTATGAGTCAGGAAAACATGAAGATGGGAGATAGTTCCAAAGGATTGAAGTGCGGGGAAAAAAACTAGATGAATAAAAGTTTTTAGAGCATGCAGGGACAGATACAGTAAACAAATGAGACTTAGCTGAATGGCAAGCAAAACGAGAATGAATTTTAGTTGATGAAACTAGAGATGATAACTCCTTTGAGCAGTGACCATGATAGTATTTGTAGAAAAGAGAAAGAGATGCAACTTTACGACGATGGGAAAGAGGTTCAAGCTTAGCAGATAGTCCAGGTCCAACAACATTTACAATGCGATTTTGGACCTTGTCAAGAAGAGAAAGTGAATCGTTAGAAGAACCAGCCCAAATATGACAACAGTATTCCATACAGGGACGAATAAGAGACTTGTAGAGGTAGAGAATAGAATCAGAAGTAAGGAAATGGCAAGCACGATAAAGAGAAGCAACCTTAGCAGAAGCTAATTTAGCAATCGATTGTATATATGGTTTCCATGAAAGGTCAGTAGTAAGCGATAATCCAAGAAGACGTAAAGAGGAGGACTCAGTAAGAGGATTGCCATTCATTAATATAGGAATGTTGACCATATTACGGTAGTTGTTTGCAGTAAGCAACTGGGTTTTTTTAGAGTTGAAATTCACAAGCCACTGGGAACCCCAATCTATTACTTAAGTAGCCTCACCGCCTCCATCTAATGCACGATAAAATCTTTCAGTTACAGCAATTAGCAAGTCGGCCGTAGAGCGAGAGGATCGAAAACCGTATTGATTGTCTGACAGTAGTTTATTTGACTCAAGATGAGATGTGAGGAATTTGTTGATCAAAGACTCAAAGACCTTGCTAATAACAGAAAGAAGACTGATTGGACGATAATTGGAGGGGTCAGAATTTTCTCCAGAGTTTTTGAATATTGGAACTACAGATGCCATTTTCCAACAAGCAGGAAAACAAGACTCAGTCAAACACTTGTTAAATAGTTTAGAGAGAATTGAAGAAAGTTCTGGAGAACAATTCTGCAAGACTGTGACAGGAATGTTGTCTGGACCACAAGCTGTAGACGAGTTTAATTGAGATATGACTTTAGCAACAGAAGCCGGAGTAATTTGAATGTCTAACAATGGGTCAACCTGTTTGACTGGAATGGAAGGAAGAGAATGTCCATAAGATTCAAGAGTGGAATTAGAAGAAAAGTTCTTTGCAAATAGTTCTGCCTTATCCATGGGAGAGGTAATAAGATCAGTCCCATGAATAAGAGATGGAATGTTAGATCTACCCTTGTTAATAATGCTATTGAAGATTTTCCAAAAGTCTTTAGAGCCTAACTTCTGCGATAAGATGCGAGATTTAGTGAACTGAGAATAATGGAGTTTAGCATCAGAAAGCACCTTTTTACATCGATTTCTTGCAATAATAAATAGCCGTTTGTTCTCAAGAGAGTTGTTCTTTTGAAAAAGATGAAAAAAATGATTACGATTAGATATAGCAGCCGCACAAGAAGGAAAAAACCATGGAGTAGAATGAGGCTTGACTTGAAACCGACGCGAAAAAATAAAAGCTTCCATTCCAGCCTGAATCCAGGAGGTTAAGTAGGAGGCTCATTTGTCAGCTGAGAGAGAAAAAACATCAGCCCAAGGACCATCACGAAGAAAATCACGAAAAGAATCCCAGTCAGCTTTAGGGTAGTAGTAGGTGGTGCGATGATAAGGTGAGCCCAAAAAAGAAGTACGAGAAGAAAGATTTATACAGATCATTGCATGGTCAGAACCACCTAAAGGAGAAAAGGGAGAAACTGAACATAAGCTAGGGTCAGAGACAAGACATAAGTCAAGGAGTGAAGGTAAATGATTAGGGTTGTCAAGAAAACAAGTCACAAAGTTAACTATCTGAGTAAGAGAAACGCAGAAGTTAAAGGCTTTAGTGCCAGCAGGATCAGTGGTGTTAGAGCCAAGCCATTCAGTGTGATGGGCATTAAAATCACCACCAACAACAATATTGGCAGAGGGGTAAAGAGAGAGGGCATGGTCAATTTGATTAGAGATAACATCTAAGAGAGTGCAATCATGGGAAGAAGGAGAACGATAAAGAACAAAGAGAAAGGTGATAGAGTGAAGAGGTGCTAGGCGAAAGCACATAAAAGAATGGTCAAAGGATTCGAACCTGATTTCACGACAAATAGGGGAATTAATGCGTATGTATACCCCTAAACCTAGCAAGTGACTATTGGAGTCTTTACGAATTAAAGGAGAGTACCCATCAACAATGACATCTGAAGAAGGAATTGCAGAATTTAAATTTGTTTCACTGAGTGCAAGCAAGTCTGGTGAATTTTGCAGGAGGTAAGACTCAACTGATGGAAAGTTGCTTCGTAGACCGCAAATATTTGTAAAAGATTTATTAAAATATTTAGGTGGTGGGGATGGTTTTTTAGGTTTTAAATTTTTGGTTACTTTGGTCATGATTTGGGTTTAATGAGAACTTGACTCATTCATAGATAGAGCACAGCCTCCTAATCAATGAGCTATGCAGTTGTCTCAGTCCTGTTAATTAACCCTAAACCGTGACATAGGGCTCCTTATGTGGCCTTGACAATGCACACCAAAAGCATTAACAGGGACACCATCTATGCGCAACATGGAACTGTTAATACTCTGATATTTTGCAGCTGTTGATGGAATCAGCCTCTCTGAGAGCTACCACAGAGTTCGGGAAACCTTACTACCAGCCGGCCTCAGAACCATTAAACTGAGTTTTAGAGCTGTACCCTCATATGGAGATAACAGGAAGAGTTGCATAGCCATTATCAAGGAGGCATAAGCAAAACTCTATGAGTAGAGTCAAGGAGATCCAGCATTCATCATCCTAGGCAGGAAACAATGTAACACAGGTTACATCTACGTCAGCCTAATAGATGAAGAAGAGGTTCGAGGCTGGTTAGCAGAATTTTTCTGCTTACCCCTAAAGTCTTTGCCTAGGAGGCCTTCTACAAGACAGTAGCTGGATGCAGTTAACATCTGCCCAAGATGAGTATTTTTATCGAGACACCATCTCTAGCCTTTACTCAACCAAGAGCCCCAAGGCAGGGGATGTTTAGCTGGATGCAGTTAACATCTGCCCAAGATGAGTGTTTTTATCGAGACACCATCTCTAGCCTTTACTCAACCAAGAGCCCCAATGCAGGGGAATTTTTAGTTGGAGTTTATTTCTCCTAGCCTTTGTCTAAGAAGAGCACACTCTGCAAGGCAGCAGGGCTTGTGGCAGGTGGTACTGGGTTACGTGATACCAGTAGCAGGATTGATCTCGATTATCCTGACCTGACCATATTTATTAATTTACTTTATGCAATAAAGCAACATATTATTCTCGGTGGAGATAATTTGTTGCTTTATCTGCAGTTTTATGAATTTGCAAAAATTGTTGTCTATAAAGTTTCACTGCCTATAATGCCAGTTATATTGAAGAAACCTCCAGACATTTAGCAACTAGAATAAATGAGCATCTTAAAAGTGATAAACAACCTCATATTTTTAAACACTTAAATTTATCTATTAATTGTAAAAATCTGGCTAACTGTAATTCTTTTGAGATTTTGGACAATGCCAACCAAACACAAACTAAAGATAAAAGAATTTTTTTTATTTGTAAAATAATCTTTTGAAAATGTAAATAAATTCTAAGAAACATGTCAAGAATGAAAAATATTGTATTATTTTTAAAAACAATTACTTGATTTATATATATTTATATATATATATATATATATATATATATATATATATATATATATATATATATATATATATATATATATACATATATATATAAATAAATATATATATATATATATATATATATATATATATATATATATATATATATATATATATATATATATATATATATATATATATATATATATATATATATATATATATATATTAGAGATGTGACTTTTTGGTACCTCCAGTTTTTTTTCTTAAAAAACTTATTAACCTGGGTCTCAAAAGAACCAGAATTTCATAGAGATTTCAGAAATAAAAGTGAATTGCTTAAATTTTATATACAAAAAATAAAAATTTTTAACTAAAAATTAAAAAAAATAATTTTTTTGCAATATTTTTTTAAGAATAATTTAGTAGAAAAGATTATGAATTTTGAAATTACTATAAAATTATTATGGTACTTTTGAGACCCAGGTCAATATACTTTTGAAGAAAAAAAATTCACTGATATATGGGAGCCAGTGTGTAATCGAGGGTCATGGTGGGTGATCTTTTTCAAAAATTAAATAAAACCAATGACTTTTCTGTTACTTTCAAACCAAAGTTTATCTATTTTTTATATTGGAAATTGGAAATACCAAAATTCTATAGCTTGAATGACAAAAAATACATACCAACATATCAACACAAATTAAATATAAAAGAATCTGGAAGAGATGTTGGAGTCATTGGATGATGTAATCTTTTCAAATAACTTGAAATGAAAAAAAATGGCATGTGTATACAGAGCAAACTAAATGCTGGGATTAAAAAATTAGTTTACTGTTTACTTGGATGTAACTTTGGATGTCTGCAAATACCACACTCACTATTGCAGATACAATACTAATACAAATACTATTATAATTATATTAATTACATTTTTTTAATCATTAACCATTTTTTTAATCATTAACCATTAAACTGTTAAAAAAAAAAAGTAAAACTTACAGTTCTGATAAAGACGTCAATCCTTCAAATGTTTTCTCTTGAATATAAAAGATCTGGTTTCGAAACAAAAATCTGTAAAATTAAGAAGTGTATAAATTAAGTTTCTTTATTTAAAAACTTATAATTTATAATTAAACCAATTAAAACTTTTTAACAAAACATAACTGATTAAAAATACAGCTAGCAGCATCTAAATATGTCATTATATTAAAAAAATTGTAAAAATTCAGCATATATTTAACATTAAAATTTGGCAAGTAAACTGATAACTTTTTTTGCTCAGATATAATGACAAGTAAAGTTCTTATGACATTAAAAAAACAACTAAACTTTAGACAATGGTTTACACAATTTAAACAGATGGTTTACACAGTTTAGACATAAAAGTGTATCTAAAAAGCTATACAAATTTTCTCAGATAAAATAAACGAGTTTAATTGTGTCAAATTCTCAAGCAAAAGAATCAGGTCAAGATTAGGGCCATCACGATCATCCTGCTATTAATAACATGTAATCCAATAAACCCTAATGCATGTTCTGGTGCCATTTAGGATTAGGTTTTCTAGACAAAAGCTAAAAAAAAAATTAGTTTGAATTAAAGTGTGCTTTGAGGCTCTTGGTCAAAATTTAAAGCAAAGACTTTAAAGATAAGCAGAAAAATTTTTTTAACTAGCCCCTCATCCCTTTATCTCATAGGCTGGCATAAATGTAAACCTGATAAAAGTTTGATCTACTTGACTTATATGAAAACATCACACAAAATTAGCGGATTTAGTTGCTTATCTTGGAACTAATTTAAATATGATATTTCAATTCTGATCTTAGTGTTGACGGATATTTTGAATTGCAAAGACTTCAATAGTCACATACTAGGTCTAAACATAAATAGGTATCAATACACATATTTGTTGCCAAACTAGGTTTGAATATTTTTTTACAAGCTAATGTTTAAAACCAATACACCTTTCTTTTCGTTATTTATCATTTTTTTTCTTCCTAAGACTGTAGTCTTTTCAATGTTGTTTTTGGTTAAATTGATCAAGCCTTCTTTATCCCTCTGCCAATATTGTTATTGGTGATTTTAATGCTCATCACAATGAATGGCTTTGCTCTAGCAACAACAGACCCTGCTGGCACTGAAGCTCAAAATTTTTGTTAATATCAATCTTTTACTCAGAATCTTACTTATAGATAACTTTGTAACTCGAAAAGTTCTCTTGAAAGCAAATGCTTTTTAATCATTGCAAAAAATCAATGCAAAAAGATATTAAAAATCATATGGTCTATTAAATATATGGTCTATTGTTCTCAGATGAAATATATGGTCTATTGTTCTCTGATTAAATATATGGTCTTGATATGAGATTAGTTCTTAGATTAATTAATATCATATTTAATCTTAGAAAATTATTAAGATTACTTAGATTCTAGAGAATTTCTTTAAAAAACTTCTTAGAGAACTTCTTTAATGAACTTCTTAGAGAATTTCTTTAGAGAACTTCTTTAGAGATTCTAGAAAAAAATAACACTGTTTAACTGTTTCACTCTTACCAAAAAAAGACAAGTTTAATCTCTCTTATTTCATCTCTCTTTTGGATCTAAACATATAACCTCATAGACAGAACAATTTGTAAAGAACATTTCCTCTAATTCATCTCTTGAATTGGCCATTCATCTCTTCACTCTAAATGACCAGAATCTTCTTGTTTCTTGCAAATTACAGACTTAATGTTATTTAGAATTAATGTTAGATATAAAATTCCCGATTCTGTTAAGTTATTTCCCAGTTAAACTTTGCTACAGTTTGTGGCTCAGGCAAAGTTAAAACTTGGCAAAGTTAAAACAAGCAAAGTTAAACTTTGCTACAGTTTGTGGCTCCTGCAAAGTTATTTATAAGAAAAAAATAAAATAAATAACAATAAAAATATATATCAATTTTGAAAATGCTTTTAAGTTTTTTCAAATTAATGATTTTAAATCAGATGAAGAATCCAATCTAAGTTAAAAATAAAAGTTATTATTTTAATGTCATTCATGTAAATATTAGAAGTTTAAAAAAAAATTTTGAAAATTTCTAAAGAGATTCCAAACCTCTGAGACATGTTGTGTTAAATGATAATTTAACACAACTTGATAATTTATTCAAATGAATTTTATTTCTAAGAGTTTTAGTGCATGAGTTTTATTCTTGTTTTTTTAGAGTAATTGTTATTAAATTTAGTATTTCAAAATGATTTTTTTTTGCAATACATATACTTGTTATATTAACATTTATCACTAACAACTCAATAACAAGTTATTTTAGCGCTATAAACTCAAGTAACTTTTAAACTCAAGCAAAGATTTATTATTAACAACTGTTTATGCTTATTTCACCAATAACACGGTAGACTAAAAGGCAGGTAGAACTAAGAGAACTGAGCCAAATGTTAAAAAGCAACAGGTATCCAAAATTACAAAGTGCAAAAAGATTGGGGATAAAAAATGTATAGGAGTAGATAGGTAATATGAAACAATGATATAAAAAATATGAAAAACAGGAACAATTATATGAAAAATGTGTAGATGGCTTGAATAATTTCAATTTTCATGAATGAAAATAAAAAATCATTTTTTAATTTCAATTCACCTCTCCGAGGCCATGAAGACCACTGCAGTCGAATAAGCTACTTTAATTGTGGTTACAAACCTCTCTTAACTCTATAACTCTGAAATACGAATCTTGGCGAACAAGGCTGCTGCGCCATGAAACAAGTTGAGTGCGGTACTATCAGGGATGTAGTGGGACCAAACTCGGAACTCCTCACTTATGAGGCAAGCCATAAACACCATTATCACATTAAATTGAAGTTTAATTAAATTAATCAACGTGTATACACACATTTAGCTTATTTGGTTAAAGCATTTACTTCATACACACTATCTACAAAAAAGAAAAGATAAATGGTTACAAAGCAAATATATGAGCAGCGAGATTTAAAAGAAAAACAATGAAAAATTGGATAGTGGTGGGATTCGAACCACAGCCATTCCGTGTATGAAGAAAAGGCCTAAACCAAATAAGCTAAATGTGTGTATACGCATTGATTAAATAAACGTGTTGATTAAATAAATTTAATTATATAATTAAAAAAGTGATGTAGAAAGTAAAAGTAGATTCATATATATGCTTACATATATACGAACAAACCAATATATAAGTGTATATTATCATATGCGCATGCACTACGTAGACATATTCATATCGGGACAATACTTGTTACATTAAAGTTACAAACAAATAACAATTTTTATTTTTGCTTTCCTCTTTAAAAAAAAAGCAAATAAAATATAGAAAAATTAGTTTTTTTAATGCCAACTGTTTTTTTTTTTTTTTACTGTGCTTTATTCGATTTCATTGCTGAAAAAAACAACCATCCTAAAGAAACAAAAATAAAACAAGTACACAAATTATTTAAATTATTAATTTTGAAAAAAAAATTTTTATTTAAATTTATCTTAATTTCGTATTTTATTAGTTTTGAATTCTTTGTTTTTGAAACTTAATTTTTTCCGTAAAGCATTGAAACACTTAATATTTAAAACTTGCAAATGGCTGTGACCAAATTGTTTAAATAAATTTTTTTTCGAGGACAAACAAGACGAAAAACTGATTGGTCTTACAGGTTTATTAACAAGCCTGGTTTTGACAGCCCTTATAGCTGCTGGTATTCTTTTAGATCTTGGTTTTCCAATTGTCTTTTTTTCTCTACTACAAGACTAAAAGCGTGAACATGAAAAACTGTTGACCCAGGCTTGGCAACTAGATTGGGTGGAATTCCAACACTAAAAAGTTAATTCATTTCTTAACTTTATAATTAATAATTCATTTCTTAACTTTATTTTTACATTTTTTTTGAAAAAAAAATTCTTCAAAGATGTCTAAACAACACCTTATCTATAGAATTCAAAAAAAATCTCGGAAGTTTTATCGGTAAAACTTATCTTAATTTAACAGTCGCATTTTGGCTCACCTGACCACCCTCAACTTAACCCTAGACAGGCAAACTAATCAGGATTTGAGCAAGTTTACAGTTTTATTTTCAATTGGAATTCTATTAATTTATTTAGCACAAAAAAACTAAAATAAATGCTAAAATAAAATAAGAATAGATTGCCTAAAAAAAAATTGAATTGCATTGTGTGTATTATTGACTGTAAAACATGGTAAATGTAGTAGTGTTAAGGTGTGAGACTGTTTTAGTTGGAATGCCACAGATCATATTGTAAAAACAAAGGGAATAATAACAAAAGTAGTTTTACTTAGACAATTAAAAAGTCATGCTATTCCTTTGGAAAGTAGGGTTTTTGACAAACTATTTATTTTTTTTAGAATGTGACTTAAATCTTAAAACCAAAACATTTTTTTCTGAATATTGCATGAGTTCTTTCACTGAGTTTAAGAATAATCAAATATTAAAGAGAATAATTTTAGCCTCCCAAATCAAAAGATTTTTCTTCTATCAGATTTTTATGGGATTAATTAAGACTAATTTCAAAAATTTATGTCAAATGATGTATAAGATGTGGAATTAGTTGGAATTGACTTCGACAAATTGTTTAATATGTATGTGACAAATTGTTTAATATATAAATTACTTAATATATATGCCAGTTATTGTCGCTAAGGGTGACTAATAGGCAAGTAAATTATAAACTAATCTAACTTTATATAAGTTATATAAGGGAAAAACTTTTGAAATTAATTTCTGGTGTTCAAACAGAAATGTAATAATGTAAACAAGAAATAGTTATGTTTGTTACGTTTATGAAATAATTTTAGGAATATTATAACTTATTGATGAATAATAATTTAGTTAAAAATATTTTAAAGAGATGTTTTATCAACTTGTTGCTCTCACAATTAGGGCAGAGGCGTCTCAAATTTTAGGTCTTTTTTTGTTCCCAGATTGTAACCATCACAATTTTTTGAAAAACATTATTTGACATGCAAGGTAGGTATAAACATATAAATGTTTGGAGTTTTCTCCAAATCTGGAGGACACAAAAAATGAGAATTTTCTTAATTAAAATCTTATTAAATTGCTATTAAATTCAATTTCAACATTTTGACGGCCGCTGTTTGCTTACATTAAAAAAAAAAAAAAAATTCTGATGAATGGCAAAAATGTTACCAGTGATGTCATTTTGTTTACATTTTCAGAATTGCTAGACAAGCACAACACAAATAGACCAAAAAGATATAAAAAAATTGACCAAATAAATTGTTTTAAAAAAGTGTCATAACATTAAAAATAATCATTTTCACTTTATCTTTGGGAATTAATGGCGAGAAATACTTTTGGGAGAAAAGTTAAAACCTGAATGTTGAAATTTTGGCATAAAGTTCTTACCTTTACTCTGACAGCCATTTAAACTTTAAAACAAGTTGTGTTTCACTGATATAATTCAAGTGTAGATTTTTTATACTATTGATCTTAAGTCACAAAATAAAAAAATATCTACTTTTCAATAAGTCTTTTTTTTTTCATCCATATCTTACAATCATTTATTCATGTAGTTCTATATCTAGCTCTATTCTGAGTTTCATATATTACTCATTTGTTTAGTTTGTCTTAATTTAGTGTCGTACATTATTTGTTTAGATTATCAAAATTCATTGTCATACATTATTTGTTCAGATTATCTAGTGTCAACCACTTAAAATTTACGTATCACTTTAAAACCTATGCTTTACTTACAATTGTTGAAGGTTTCTCATATCAGCAAATGTTTTTTTTTCAATCCACTCAATTTGATTTTCCTGTAAAAATCTAAAGCAAATAATATTTAGTTGCTTAGTTACCATTAACAAATATTTATCATAATTACTATTAACAAATATTTAATTAACATATTTACCAACAAAACATATTTACTAATTACAAAGTTGGTAACAATTTAATTGATTGTAAAATGATTAACCCATTTCAACTATATCATGTGTTGAGAATTTTCTTCAATAATGTGATGTATTCATTCGATATTCTTAGCTGCATAAGTAGTTTGAGGATGCTCTGAAAAGAGATTATCTTCAAGACTCTTTACAATCTCTACCATTTAAATAAACGAGCCTACTTTGCAAATGTAATATATTTTGGTTTTCATCAGTTTGGTTAGAGATGAAACACAGAGTAGGGATTACTATTTGAAACTCCACACAAGGATTTTAAATAATGCTCCATACTCAATTTTTTCCTATTTTAAAATTTTTCTTTTAAATGTAAAAAATTTTAACAATTTTTTTTGTTAACTGCAATTAACTGCTGTTAACAAAAAACTGTGTTAAGATTTTTTACAATTAAAATAAAAATTTTAAAATTGGAAAAAATTGAGTATGGAGCATTATTTAAAATCCTTGCGTGGAGTTTCAAACAGTGATATTTAAGTGATATTTAATTTTTCCTGTTTTATTTTATAACAAAGTCCTACACAACAAAATAGAACAATATAATATACTCTGTTCCATAAGGTGGTGTGTTAATAGTAGAAACAACAGGATGCATTGGTTTTTTTTTCTGGTTTGTGAGCTTAAACCATTCTTAATTTACATAACAGTTTTTGAAATTTAGTATTGAATGTGGGTGTAATAATCAATAACTTTACCATTTTCTATTTGTTCTTCTAATTTATCTTTTGCTTCCTTTTGATATAATAAAGCAAAATCGGTTCATTTTTCATATGTATATGATATATCTTTAGATGTGAATGCTTTTTTAGGTTTTGTAAAGAAAAGCGTTCTGGTTTTGTTAAATTTTCTTTTAGTTTCAATTTTAAAGAATTTTAAATAAATGTTGCTAATTTATATCTATCTGTATCGATCGATAAAGCAAAACCTGTTATTGTTAACATATTGTACATTAACTTTTCTTACAGTGTATAAGGTATTATCTTCAAGACAATTGAATCCTTCATTACCAGCATTCTCTTCACCATATCCCATAACTTCAGGGGTTCCTCAAGGTTCTATCCTTGGCCCTATAATTTTTTAAATTTATATTAACGATCTCCTAGAAATTCTCACATCGAAGGTGGCATTGTTTACTGATGATACTACCATTTATTCTTGTCTTGATAAAAAGCCAACACTCTCTGATTACTTGGAGGAAGCATTTGAGATTGGAATAAGATCTCCCTTCTACTACAGTATGGGGCTCATAGTGGCTGGTGAACTTTAACCCAGATAAAAGTCAATTTTTTTCAGTTAATCGTTATCCAACAACATAGATCTTCTTATAATTATGAACAGTATTACAGTTACAGGTATTGTGCAAACTCCAAACTTTTGTATGTTCATGCTTATGTCAAATGAGAATGTTTTGTTGACCATATAAAGTTTCAACCCCCCTCAAATTGAGGGGGGTTGAAACTTTATATGGTCAAAATTTTCGAAAAATAAGTTATTATTGGATGAAATTTGAAATTTGTTGATGATTATAAACTTAGATCAAAGTACTAAAAAAATTATTTTATCAACTTGTTGCTCCCATGTTAAGGGCTGGGTGGGCCCGAAAATTGGGTTTTTTTTGTCCCCAAGCTCCAATCACCACAGCTTTTTGCAAAACATTCTCATTTGACATAAGTATGAGCATACAAAAGTTTGGAGTTTGCAAAATGTGTGTAAGTGTCAAAACTCAAACATCTAAAAATCCATAATTTTTTAAATATGCATCTTTTATCATGGTTTATGCATCTGCTTAGTAATTTGGTAAAAATGCAGCTGTTTTGATTGTTGAAGCCATAAACATATTGGGATGCTTCTGAAACTAGTTTTACTGCTCGCTCAACACTTCAACACTCTGGGAGCGAATTGGAAAGTCGGGAATTTCAGGTTTAACATGGATTTGAAAACAAAAATTTTGTATCTTGTTGTCCCTATCTTTTAGCATGGCATAAAGAATATTTTCAGGTTTTAGGCACAATACATTTTTTTTTTAAATTATAAGTTTAACATCATCAAAGGGGAGATTATTTATTTTAGTAATAGTAGAAAAAATAAGGCGCTGGGATTCAAGGTATTTTGAAGGTTTTTTTATATCGAACTATGCTGGAGCATAAACCTGAACAATAAAAATATACAAGTTTTTTTAAAGAAACGGTTGGTTGATTGTCTCTAGTATAAAAACAAAAAAAAGCTAGAGTTGACCACCTTGCATGGTTATGCAATCCAATTTTATAGGCAGCCCATTTATCAGGAACTTTACCTAAGCCTATTCTTTTTTAATATTCAAATAAAAGTCTTTGATCGCAACTAAGATCTATTAGTACTTTTTCTGGAATATATCGATCTACTAATGGGTTTCTCATACGTTCAAACAAAACTTGATTTCTATACTGAATATTTTAAGCACATCTTGTGCCAAGTAGACCACTGAAGCTTTTTGGCTCAGTTGTGTCACCATCAAGTTTTATAAAAAGAGTTTTACCATTAAGCCACTTATTGGTCCATTATTTTTGAAAGTGCCAATAAACCACTTATTGGTCCATTATCGGTATCAGTATTATCAAGAAGAACAGCTTGTATACTTTCCAAACTGTTATGCTCTTGTAAAATGCTGAACATTTCGGTAGCAAAAACTAAGCCTGTAGTACCAGAAACAGGAATCATCCAATGAGTCAAATAATTTCCACTCAATTTTATATCTTCATAAGTAAATGTGAGGTGACATTCAGATTTAATGCATTTCTTTAATACTTCTCCTTGAGGGGAGTTTATTATTTTACTTGTTTTAGCTATCTGATCGAGCTTGATATCAACCTCAAGACAAATTAACTGTTTTTTTTGTTATGAGTCCACATCTCCACTAACAATTTTTACTTTAGACTTGCCTCTATCTAATTTGCATTTGTTAATCAAAATATCTTTTATATCCACATAATTTTTCAGGAGACGTTTAGTGTCATGTAGTAAAACATCTGCAAAAGCTGCCGCTACGTTTAACAAACAATTGTTTCTGACTAGTTCCATTGCAAATCTTGGAAACTTAACCAAATTGTATTTTCCAATAGGATTATTTATTGGTTTCCATTCACCTTCATACTAAAATAGTTAATAGAATAAAATGTTTTTTATTTCATCTACTACGAATATTTCATGCAGTTATAAAACATAAGCTGTCTTCAAGAGGTACTTTATTACTTTGAGAGCAAAGGCATACCATATGTTCTTTAATGCAATTTTCTTTATTACAAGAAACTTTTCTGTCACTACAGGGAAACATATCTAATGAACAGGAAAACGCAGAAACATCAAAAAGTTTATCCAAGTTTGCATCAAAATTTCTTTTAGCGCTTACTTTTCTGTGCTTGCGATTAATTTCCTTAACAAGTAAGAGAAGATCTTTAACTTTCCTATTAATAGTCCATTTACCTCTTATAATTTGTCAGTTATAAGAGGTAAATTTGAGTTTACTGTAGCCCAAATTGATTTTATAATAATGTTTAATTGCTGAGACACTAATATGATATCTGCATTTGGATTTATATGAATAAGATAGTAATAGTACTGAATAACCTGTCTAAAAATGCTTGAATCTGTCATTGATAATTCACATGGGCCACTACAATATATATTTTTCACTTTTCATCTGCATAATTACATTTAACTTTCGGCATTTTTGTAGATTAATAATATATGTAAACTGTATTAAAGTAAAACACATAGAGCTATGGGCCAAGGTATGAGGGACCATGGTACCCTCAGGCCCCCCATTGCTGTGCCCCAAGAGAGTATAAGTTATTTAAGAATAAGTTATGAATTGAGTATAATCATAAGTTAATATATACTTTAATCTACTTCAGAAGTTGCAAAACAAAATTTATGAGATACTAAACAATTTTTTTTTGAACCAACTTCTAAATACTTTATATCTAATTTTAAAACCAACTTTTAAATACAAATGATTTGCAAAATTTAATTTTAAATTGTGTAAACGATCTAAATATGTATACACACAAAACAGAATATATACATATATTAGAATATATACATATATTATAAATTAGAGAACTATACCAATAAATAACAAATAAACGTACCAAAAAAGGATAAACATTGGCGTACCAAAAAAAAAAATCATATCAAATACCATTAATGACTTACAACTGACTTACACTAGTAAGACCAGAAAACATTCCAACCTTCAGCTCAGTGAGGTGATTCCCTGACAAAGATCTATAAAAATATTTTAACTCTTTATTTATTACTATAAAGTTTGATTTAAAATTAACTAGAAACTTTTTTAGTCTTATGAAAAAAATTCTTTTTTTCTTTTAATTCAAAAATTTAGAGCTGCGTTTAAAACATTCACTGAGAGTTTATAAAGTAATCAAAACAACCCAACCTTCAAAATAAGAAGATATTCTAGTTTTAACATGTAATGTCGAGGAGAATAACCATAATCTTGGAATGCTTATTAAATTAATCAAAAATCAGCTCAAATTTTTTGTGGCTTCTGACCTAAAGCTCATAAATGTACTGACTGATTCCATGAAATTCACCTATTTTGTAAGGCACAGAAAATGAAATACAGTATTTTATTTTTGTACAAAACATACTAAACTGTCATAAAATGTAGGTGCTAACGTATTATGATTTCCCTGATGTTTTTTTAATACAGAAGACCTGCAAGTGTGGGAAAATATAAGTTTTACTTAAGTGAACACTAATCTTTTCGACTTGTGTTAATAGAAGTTCTAGATATGTTGAGTGATTATTTTCTCAAGAAATATTTACCAACACACATGTGATAGCATTTAAGTAAAATAAGATGGAGGTCTGCTGTTTCATCTTTTAAAATATTAACGTGATTCCTAGTAAGTCAATAAGTGGTAACATACGTAACGAAAACGCAAACTTTTTAATGCTGCACAACAATTGTTTTTAATATCATGACTTAATATTATAAACAAGTTTAACGCTTCATTTATACTTGATATCATGTGTCTTTAATTTTAATTGCCTTTTAAATTTATGATAATATAATTGGGTAACTCATGTAACGATAATTACTACCACATATCTATGAATATGGATATCTATAAATAAATATGTATAAATAGTATGTACAAATACTATGAAACTATTTATAGGATTTCTTAAATTGGCGCATTTAAACGCAACTTCACATGATTAGCAAATTTTCTCAGCATTTGAATTAAACTAGCATGGAGGCAATGTATTCATAAAGACATTCTTTAATTACACATGCATTTATTTACTTTCTAGTTGCATTTGCAAATATTTTAACTGACCTAGGTTCACAGATTTACAATCATTCAACTTACAGTTGGAAGTGCAAGTCTCAACATAGTTCAGTTTGTTTATTTTGTCGTGTTAATTTGTTTTCTTTTTTAATTTTGATGAAAGAAGTGAAACTACGGGCCTTGACTTCTGCAGAAAAAACTAAAAAGTTTAGAATGAAAAAGAAAAAGGAAGATCCACAATTTCAAGTTTGCAAAAATAAAAGAATTGCACAAGCTCATGCTGCAAAATTTGCTAAAATGACAAAAAAACAGTTAACTGAACATAGGCGTAAAGTAGCTGCAAGGGTGTCCAAATGTAAAGCTAAGAAAAAGGAAACTATGAAATCTACGGTAACATCAACTAGAGCACTTTTGGGTGAGTCAAACACGACAATTATGTCATCTTCATTTTGTTGTCCGCAAACGCTTGGAAAAGCTGTAAAACGTTGTTTTAAAGCTTTACCGCTGTCTCCCAAAAAGAGATTTGCAGTACTTACCGAGGTTGCTGAAAATGTCGGCCTTAAAATTGATGCAGCATGTTTGTTTAAAAAACGCAATGTGGAAGGTTTAAAAGACGATATTAAAAAACTAGTAAAGGACTTTTACTTTCAACCAGACATTTACACTATGGCAGGCATGCCAGATACAAAGGCTGTTTGGAAAAATAGAAGAAAGGAAACTTTGAGGAAGCATTACTTGACTTTGTTCTTCCGTGAGGCATATACATTATTTCTTGAGAATAATGAAACAATTAAAATTTGTTTTTCAAAATTTTGTTCTCTGTCTACCTAATGTACTGCTTTTAAAAAATACACCAATTGATCAGTGTAAATGTGTGATGCATAAAAATTTAATACTACGTTTGAGCAAATTGGGCATTGTGTAAAAAAATAATTGGTGGGATGATATTTTGCGTTCTTCTTGTGCATTAGATATGTCATAGTCCTGTTGGAAAAACGAGTGTAAATTATGTAAAAACAGCTTTAACATCAAATCTAACAAGAACGTGGAAGACATAGCAATTTGGTACGAATGGATTAATGAGTACGTCAAACATGACGACATTGCTGAATCCAAGAAGCGACTGCGCAAGATTCAGCAGCAGGGCACTGTTGGAGAACTTATCGGTGCCATTCAGGAGGGTTTTGAAAAGGTTGTAAAGCATGTGTGGGTAAAAAGAATCCAAGCTAAAGAATTTTCTGAAGACAAAACAAAATATACCTCCAGAACCCTGCAAATAGATTTTGCAATGTCATATTCATGCAAATATCAATCTGAAATCCAGTCAGCTATGTGGAGTAGATCTAGCGTTACTCTTTTTACAGCAGCTACGTTTGCAAGGGGTACACAACAAGGTTTTATTATTTACTCCGATACTCTTAAGAAAAACAAGGATACTATTTTTGCATTTCTTTTCAAAGTATACGATTATATTATCTAATTGCCTGAATCAAATTATTACGGTGATGAAATCATTTGGTCATCGTCTGAATTTAAAAATAAATACATGTTGCATTTGTTGCAACTTCTGGTCTGTCAATATCACAAAAATTTTCAGTAGAAGTATTTTGCCACTTCCTATGAAAAGGGGGTAATTGACGCAATTGAAGGAAAGCAAAATATCTCGTACGTCAAAAAATTGTTAAAGGGAGCTAAAACCATTGTTCAATCATCTAAAGATTTTGCTGAATTAGCAACCATGTTAAAGCCTAAAACAATAACTTTTCATGTTCAGCAAGAAGAGATAGATAAGCTAACCAGCAAATTCGACCCATGGAGTAATGTAAAAGATGATGAAGGCATAAAAACAATTCATTGTGTCACAGCAAATCAACACGGCGAAATCATGCTGTGGGGAGCAGCTTTGGACGAAATAAATGGCACCATTTTATTTTTAGATTACTTACGTCAAATAAATGAAAATGGTCACAGTTTAATTTTGACACTTTTTGTGGGTGATTGGTGTGTCGTTAATTACAATGCATCAGAATTTCCTGGACAAGTAAAAGAAGTCAAATGTCAAATCAAGTTTTAGTGTGAAATGAAATTCCAAACAAATGAAAAACATTTGTTTGGAAATTCATGGGTTTGGGCAATTAAACCTTATGTGATGCTTAACGATATAAGTTAAGTTCTTAGAAAAATTGATCCCCCGTCACTTGCTGGTTCAAAAACCCCAACATATATGGTGTTTCACTCCACAGACATTGTAATTTTTATTCCCATGAACCTCTAAACTCTTTAATTACTCATATTTCGCATGCTTGCATTTGTAATCACTATGCTTTTGCTATTATAGTTGTGAAATGATTGCTTTTATTAATTGTTTTGCACGTGGTAATGCACGTAACGAGACTGGTAACATATGTAACAATGACAAATTGTTAATTTAATCCGCTATTAAAATCGCTTCCCCAAATCCACTTTATGGTTTTGTTAAGTGGCATCTTTAATAACAAGTTGCACATTTCAGTTTTTCAATATGCAACCAATTTACAGATAAGCCTTGTCAAAATTTACTTGTTAAAATTTAAGATGTGTGCAAATAAAGCATGTAACGATTTTTGATTTATAATTTGAGATAAGAAATTAGGGTTTGCAATCCCGGATCCCGCCAAATAATTTAACCCTGAATTCCCGGGATTATTTCAAAAATATCAGGATTTAGAATTTATAAAACTACGATTAATACCTGCGTTTAAATTGCGTCAAATAAAATGAAAGTAATATCAAAGCTATAATATTTAGCACCAATGCAATGTAATGTTTTCATCATTGATTTATAATTTTAAAGTAAGTTTAATTGATCTTATATATTGTTATCACTACTGGCGCGTTTATGAGAAAATAGTAAGAAACTAATTTTTAATTATTAAAACTAAATTATAATAACAATATTACGAATTAAAATAATGATAACAATAATAATAAAAAAAATTAAAATTTATTTGTATTGATTTATATTGATAATAAAGTGTATAAATTTATTGAACTTTAAAAATTCACATTAATAAGAAAGTTAATATTATATTATTATATATTTTTTGATTCGTCAAATTAGGATACTATGTCAAATTTCATAGAGTTCAACAGCAAAACCCCTATATGGAAACATTTTCTGCGCAAAAAAGAAAGTGAAACAGCAATGTGAAAACTAAGCCATTGCAAAAAAGTATTGAAATTTACGGGGGGATCAACAAAAGCTCTGCATTCTCATTTTCTTCAGTTACATAAAATAAATTTAAAAGCAGTTTTCTGACATCGGAAGAAGAATCACTGAGTAAAAAAAGTAAAATTAGTTCATATTTTTCATCGAATATGAATAAAGAAGAAAGCTTGTCTGAGGTGCTTGCAAGATTAACAGCTAAAGATGGAATTTCTTTTTCATAATATGCACTTCTATTGAAATACGTGCTGAACTGGCTATAAGGCTATTTGTCAACATACCTAAATCTCCAAACACTGATAAAAAAATGGTACTTGATTTTTCTAGCAATATAAAGAATGGTATAAGAAATGAATTAAAACAAGAAATTAACAGTGGAACTAAGTTTTCAATTTCTTTTGATAAGTGGACGTCGATTCGAAATACCCGTTATTTAAATATTAATTTACACAACAGAGACGATTTTTGGAAATTAGGTTTAGTAAGGATTGTAGGGACAACGCCAGCTGAAAAGTGTGTAATTTTACTCAAAGAAAAACTCTTCGCATTCGGTTTAAATCTTGAAAATAGTTTTGTGTACATAACGACAGATGGAGCCAGCGTAATGAAAAAAATTTGAAAACTATTACAGATTAATCAACAGCTATGCTTTGCTCACGGTATTCAAGTGACTATTATTTCAGTTTTATATCATACGTCAATATCAAATTGTACGCAGAGATATTTAGTCGAGGAAATTGATAATCACACTGAAAATTTGGGAA